GTTCTGAATATATATGTGATATACAATTGATATTTTCTGTTAAGTTTAACTTTCACATCTCTAATTATAGCACTATTGATGTCTTAGTTTAGTAAATTTTATTTCCTTATTATTCATGAAAACAGTCACATTTTGAGTTATGGCCGTATTTTAGAATCATGGAAGGAAGTTTTTTAAATTCCAGCGTTCACAATTTGGTCACGTTTCATGTTGTTTTCTATTCTGAGTTATTGAATAAATTTTATAATTTCTTAAGTGTGCCACTCACTTGAAAACGATATTGAAATGTCTCATTCACAATGTTTGTGAACTATGATTTGGGGTTGAACTAGATTCCATTGAAAATCCTGCTTTCCAACTGAATTATTTCGGATGTTTCTTGGACTAGAGGAGACTTTTTTCAATAAGTAGTTATATTAACTATGAATCCCATCAAGAGTTCCCAAGCAACAGAAAATGTTAAAAATTTTGATGGTGTTGAAAATATTTCAATATAACCTACTAATGCTTCGAAAGAATATCACTTGTGGCTGATTTTATAGACACTCGTAAGTATATCGTGACAAATTTTGCTATTTCGACAATAAATCTTTGCAGAATTTTGGTAGTCTGAAAAACCGAAAAGGTAACCTTAAATATACTAATGTAATTTATCACTTCCTAAATTTTTAAATGTACTAATTACTAATATAGACACAATAAATTAATTTAAGTATACAGGTTAAGAATTATGTAACCGCAGACTGAAAGCTGTTATTTCATTTCCGACCAATATAGTTGGAAATACCGAAGTAGAATGAGCTCCTAGTAGATTTTTCTGAAAAAGAAAAGAATTTTATTTTTTGATCATACTACAATGGCGATTAGAGAAACGATGAAAATTTTTAGTGATAGAATTGGTTGAAAATACATGATAACCAATTTTAACACTTTATGTGGGATTTTTACTCAGATAGGTCAAACTGTGTGATTACAGGAATCTGAGAATGTAGCTTGGGATGGGGACATACGAGATACGAGGTCCGGCTATTAAATAACGAGACTGCGCGTGTAGAGAGCGTCCTAGAGGGGTGGGGAAAAAAACGAGTAGATATAGGAGTTGGGTATCTGGAAATCTCTATTCACGTACCAAAACACGTTTTCGTCACTATTATAGTATTTGTGCAGTAGCGGTTTGAAACGAAGGTTTTTTTTTTGTTTCCGAAGATAAAATCTGCTTTGAAAGGGACCTGATTTGAGTCAATAGAAGCGGTAAAGCAAAAAACGGCAGAGCTCGTAAAGGCCCTCGGCAAAGAAGACTTCCAGCACTGCTTCGATCATTGGAAAAAACGTATGGAAAGGTGTGTGGCGAGGAGAGGGGAGTTATTGAAGGGTAACATTCGAATGTAGAATAATTTTTAAAATAAAACACTTTTTTCCAACCAGTCTATTTAATAGCCGGACCTCGTATTCATCCACAGCATTATAACAATGTACAAACAATTATGCGATGTTGAAGTTTTAAGCAGAAAATGTGTTTTAGAAATCCGATCCAGAAAATCATATTAATTTCTATTGAAATTGATAGGATTCGCTTCAAACAAAGAGTTTGGTGATTCTGTTTTTTCATAATGCTATTCTATGGATAAAAATATAGTGTAGAAGAAAAATTTCCAAAGTGGTAAGTTGTTAAGTCTGGTGAAAATTTCATGACTATTTGAACTTGAAAACACTTAGATAACTATCAATTCAGTATGAATAACGAGAAGAGGAAAACGTTTCGGAAACCTAATTTGCTTATTGAAATCGAAAACTTATTCATTGATACTCACCACATAGCCCTGAAAATCTTCTTGATTCGGTCAAACCGTTTTCCATGCAATTTGGATTTCCTTTATTGTACGGGGTACGACCTAATACGTTTCCTCTGAAAAAAGTATATTTTTTGAATAGCAATAATGAGTCTCTAAATGTGCGTTTTGAAATTACGTGCTTTAAATATGCAGTTTGTTTTAATCTTATTTTGGCAATAGCTTTCGACCATCCATAAAAATCCTTCTGAATTATTTATATTTCAAGAAACAAAGTGGATAATCAAATTATTGATGCGAAGTTCAAATACCGACCTTATAGGTCTCACCGTTTCCGAGATAGCAATAACGGCCTGTATATACATACAAGTTACTGATGAATATAAAACAGTTTTCTTTGTGAAACATACTTAAAATGTACACAGTAACTCATCAGAGTGAATTAGTATGTTTGTCCTTTCAACAACTTCATAAAGTTCTTCATTACAATAATTTTATTTCATATTTTGGAAGGCAAGAATCCCAAAAAAAGTTGACGAAATACTCTGATTTCCAATACGAAAATTGACTATTCTTCAATATGCCTAATATATTTAATTACTATTCATTTTGTAATGAAACAACAAAGATTTAAAGCATTTCATTAGTTCGGACTTCCGTTGTCTAATATGATATAAATTGATTTGAAATCTCTGAAAGAATCTATAAAAATTAAAAAGATTAGCTGGAAAATAACAATTATATTAAGCAAAAAAACTGAAATTACAATGAAATAAAAAACAAGCAACAAATAAAAATTGAACTATTACCAAGAAATGAAAAAAAAAAAATAAAAAAATCAGTCATCACCCGAAGACGATTGTGGATACTAACAATCGAAACGTTGTGGAGTAACTTGTCTTGAAACCTTTTAATTTTTAATTTTCATTTCTTGGTAATATTTTTTGATTACCATTTATTGTTAATAAGTAAATTTTTAATTGTTGCTTGTATTTTATTTCAATGTAATTTCAGTTATTTTGCTTGATATAAATGTTATTTTTTAGCTAATCTTTTTCAGTGCACGTCCAATCCAGCCATTAGAGTAGGTGATGTCGATACGTTGATGAGCTTGAACATTGAAATAAGTTGGAGCTGCATCGTTGCCTCTTACTTTTACACTCCTTCTAACAAAATGGGTAAAAAGTCCGTGTAGGATTCACCTATAAATCTTGCTGGTAGGAAAAATGAGCCAATTAGGTAGCCACCAATCATTCCTACCCAAACATTCAGCGAAAATTGTTGCTGAAAATGACTCTCTAATAACATGGGGATTTTTGTCGGCCCAAAAATGGTCATTGTGAAAGTTCATAATGGCATCTCGTTAGTTGAAAAATTATTACTGTGTGCCATGGTATGAATCAACCACCTGCAATACATTAATCTTGGGTGAAAATTCCTAGTCCCGCTACATGTGATATGGGTATAGGAGGTTTCTTTTTAGAGCTGCCCATACGGTTTTTGGGCTGAATTGTAGTTACAGTGTAATCTTCCTGGTACTATTTGAAGGATCTTTTTCTATTGCATCAAATATAACTTCTTTTAGTTCAGGCTTTGTTACAGTTTCTAGTATTTACCACATGCATTTCTATTGAAACTCCCGGTTTCACATAATCTTGCATGTAGCGTTCTAAATATTTTAGCACGAGGAATTGCTCTGTTAAGATATATGACCTGTTAAATTATTTTTGCTTTTTCCGCATTTCCATTTGCTGACCCTTAAATAAAGTGCATGTCAGCCATTTCAGCGTTAGTGAAATTATTCATGTTAGAATCACTGCTAATTGACAACTCTGACTTTTAGTGATATGACAACACTATCAATATCAGCTGGTCTCTGTTCATGATATGGAAAGTGGCTTTTATTTTTTTCCTTAAAAACGGAGCTAGATATGAAGAAAACACAAGCAATAAAAAAGTTGTATTTTTAGATCATTAATCTAAAAAAAAATTAAAAACTACAAGTCAGTGGCGTACTTTTTTCCCAATATTGTGTGCCCATTGAGACTCCACTGGGCTAAATAAGCGTCTGATTACTTCAAATAACTAGCAAATTTCAATCAAACCTTCAACGTTCTGTATCTCAGAAACGAAGCAACTCCGGACGACATTTTCTTATTTCTTCATCCAACTTCACATAAGGCTACGATTAAACCAGTTTACGACTTATTGGAAAAAACCAAGAATCCAATATATTGCTTCGCTGACGACACTTTGCATTCCATCGGCTGTGGATGCACATCTTCACAGCAGGAGGTTGCATATCTTAATGAGGATCTAGAAGTAATTTCAAATTGGGATGAAAGTAATCAGCTCATTTCAATGCCACAAAAATCCAGGCATCGGTTTTCTCCAAAAAGATGAATGTCTTCGAACCGGATATAATATTGGCAGGACAGAACATTCCACTTTGTGCTTTGATAACTTTCTTGGCGGCTGAAATGGTACAATAATGTCGCTGGAATTGCAAAGGCTGCTTCTCAAAAACTTGGAACACTGTTTCGAACCAGAAACTGTACACACCTCAGCAATTTTTGATGTTTCATAAAGCTCAGATACGACCTTCTCTGGAGTATTTCTCTCATGTATGGAGCTCCGTCGCTAAGTATACCCTGAAGCTGCTGGATTCCATCCAGAAAAGAGCCATTTGCCTGATTGGAGGCGCAAACATCACTTGCAACCTTGGTAGTCTGGAACATCGAAAAAAAAAGCTGGCAATTTGTCTCTCTTCCATAGATATTTTAACGGGAAGTGTTCAAGTGACTTGGCACATTTGATTGCACCAAGAGCGGTACATATCAGAAATACAAAACGGACTGTGGCTGCTCATCGTTCTAAGGTTCAACTCAGTTTGTGCGCATGGGAGCGGGCTCGCAATCACGTTTGGCGCTTGCTGTAGTTGTAATATGGTAGGCCCATATAACCTAATGGAATTGTTCTTTACAATTACCTATATTTTGCCTAGTTATCTTACACCCCACGATATTAATTTGATTATTGCAATGAAAGTTTGAAAACACGTTAACCGTTTAGTAAAAAAATGAACTGCAGGCCAACTGAACTTTGTTTGAAAAATATTACATGTTTCGCTAACACAGTAGCTTTTTCGTAGTAAATAACTCACAGAAAGTTCATTCTCATATTCTAATATTTATATACCCTACTTAATTACAATTGAGACTACCCACACAGGTACTCACTCGATCAGTATTACTTGAAGCATCTATTCAACTTTTATATACCTAAGGTCCATCCTCAATTATGATTACCTAAAGCATATTACACATATCAATTCTATACAGCAATAATAATTATTCATTGTTTTCTGAGAAAACAAGTTCAATAATGGTGATCTATCAAAATCCAGGTGGCCATTCATTAAAACGTTTCAGTTCATTAATTTCCATAGCTTCCAAATAATTTAGTTTCAAACCTTTGTCTATGTGTGAAATTGCGAAATCTCCGTTAAAAATATGATTTTCTTCTGAAAGTTGATTTGAATTTGTTCAACTTGTTTTATTATTTACAGAGCTCATATGATGATATTGGATGCGATTTCTGCCAGTTTGATCAATGTATACCTTTAGGACAAATTTCACACTAATTTATATACTACTTACTGATTTCCCGAATTTTGATGTTTTGTCTTTATTATTTTCAACTAACTTTCCCAACTTATTACTTGTTCTATATGCAATTTTAATATCTTGTTTATTCAAAAATGAAGCCACTATTTAATATTTATTTCTCTTCAAAAGGTTTATGGAAAATTCGTTGAAAGAAAGAAAGAAAGAGAGAAAGAAAGAAAGAAAGAAACTTTATTGACCTCAAATAACAGTTTCTGTTACAGTCGAAAATATCTGCAATAACAAAATTTGCTTAGGTACGGAAATTTTTATGGATAACCTAGAGGAGTCGATTTTTAAAGAAGTATTTCTTGACATATAGTCAGTGGGCATACTTGAAAACTGGCTATAAATCAAATCATCTACAGGAACAATTTGTTCAGGCCAGGCTCAACTTTTTACTCCCTACACTCTAGGTTAATGGACTGACACCTATCAGAAAGGCGGGTTGGCCGTTCATATTTCACTGCCTGTGAAAGATGAACATGCTGTTTTCGGCGAGTGCATTGACTTGGGATGTGGGGGTTGAGCAAACCGGCCATCGGATGCCTGCTTTCACGTAGCCCCGCTGGATACGGGAATGACAGAATCACTTGCGGTTCTGTTATTCCCTAACTGAATGGCATCCTAAGGTGCTTAATCCCTCTCGTTGTAGCATCGCCTTGTCACGGTAATGCAGGGCTCTGCCGTGATTGACCTTCTTTCCCTAGCTACTCGTGGGACCTTTATGGACAGAGTGAACTTAAAAAAATCTTTCTGACGCTGAGTCTATAGAGGAGATGGATGTCGAGCTTACGACTCCAACTGACCCCCCTGTAAACTTAGATCGGAAGCGATTCTACAGAGGAGATGGATGTCAAGTTTACGACTCCGACTGATCTTCCTGTAAAATTTAATCCAGGAGATGGATGTCGAGTTTAAGACTCCAAATGACCTCTCTGTAAATTTAGTTGAGGAGCGAGTCTACAGAGGAGATGGTTGTCAAGTTTACGACTCCAACTGACCTCCCTGTAAATTTAATTTAGGAGCGAGTCTACAGAGGAGATGGTTGTCGAGTTTACGACTCCAACGGACCTCCCTGTAAATTCAGTTCAGGAACGAGTCTACAGAGGTGATGGATGTCGAGTTTACGACTCCAATTGACCTCACTGTAATTTCAGTTCAGAAGCGAGAGCTGCGGCGTACGCAGAATCTGTCTCAGGTGGGGGAACTAACCCCCCATGAGCAGGTTAGCAAACGTTTGCGCTCCAGTGAGGTTTCACCAAAACCAGAGGCGAAAAAGCCCTGCACGGCTGAATCTAAGGCATCGTCAGGTGTAGTTGACGTGCAAAAACCCTCATATGGGAAGTTTGTCGTGAGTATCAAGGTGGGAATCTTGCAACTTGACTATCCGACTACCTCATTAACAGAGCATATGCTTAGTGCCTGCCCCGCTGGGGACCGAATCAGGTATTTAGAGTTCGGCAGAGCCGTACTCTTACCATCTGACCTGAAATACCACTCACCATATAAACTAACCGGCTTCGTTAAGAAGCTGGGTTTGTTTGGCCGAGTGAGAATAGGTGTGAGCCACAATAAACCCTTGCGGGTTGCGGTGAAGGGTCGAATAGACCCACTCACTTTGGACCTAACCTAACCTAACCTATCAGAAAACAACTACTCCCCTGGCTTATACCACGAAGGGCGTTGGATTATATCCGATAGATGTCAGTGCAGGATTTTTCACTGTAGTACTTCCTGCATATGCTGTTGGCCATAAAACTGCCGCAATAGATCTTCAATTATTGGAACACACTTGCAGACCGGTTTCGGGCTGTTTGGCCACTCGTCAGTGCAAGGTAGTGTCTATCATCAACATAAAGTCGATATAGGATAGATCTGTGTATGTATATGTGATCACGTGGGGTATACTCGTATAAATATAAAAGTGAAAATGAATTTTCAGTACGTTATTCACTACGAAAAACCTACTATATTAGCGAAACGTGATTTTGAAAAAAAAGTTTTTTAAGACGAATCATAAGGTGTAGTTTATGAAATTAGTCATACTACTTATAATGTATTTAAGTTTCTGATAAATTTTCTAAATTGACTTGTGAACATACATTTTATGTATCCCACACACTCACCGAAAGGGCCTATAAACAAAGTTAGTGTATAATGAACTCGTCTATAGGTAATTATTAAAATGACCACTCCCATGAATTTATAATGCTCTTCAAGATATAGTATTTTGATTACTTTACACGTGTTATTTTTTTCACGGTTATGTTCTTTATGACTACTGTGTTTATGATTCACAAGAAATGGTTTTTAAAAATTATGCTAATTATTTAATTGATGGCGTTTATCAAGGAGTAAACAACGTATGGAAACTTTTGAGATTTATTCATAGGAAACAGAAATCTGTGTGTTATTTAAAACCTCTAATTATTTCTCTAAAGTAACAATTGTTATATCGGAGTCGTGCGGAAGTAAGGTATTATTGAATTTGAGAAAAATATTAAAGGATATATAAGCTTTTTGGCTTTGTACTTCTCCATCTTTATACAAAAAATGTGGGAAACTGCCGATGAAAGGAAGAGAACAATTATGTTTATAAGATACTCATTACAAAGATGTGTAAATCGTGCACTGTGAGAAAAAAGCCCTTACGAAACAACTACCTCCATATAAATTTCGAATCATACGAAAGAAAAAGTACTTCACTTGTGTCAGTGGGCATACTCAAAGACCGGCAATAAATCTAATCAGATCCAACAGCATATGCAGGAATAACTTCAGTGAAGAATCCTGCACTGACACCTGTCGAATATAATCCAACGCCCTTCGAGGTATTAGCCAGGGGAGTAGTTGTGTTCTGATGGATGTCCATTAACCTACAGTGTAGGGTGTGGAGACTGGCCTCAACAAATTGTTCCTTCAGATGATTTAATTGTAAGGAAATATTTTTTTTTCTATCTAGTTGGACTCTATTCTGTGGGAGTATCTGAAAGATATTGTTTTCTTCTGATTCAGATGATCTGGAAACGAAGGTTCACCAGAAATGTCATGACTCAAACAAAATAACTAAAGGTTGCCTGTTTTATAGAACTGAACCATCGATTTCAAGGTTGGGTCAATTCAAATGGTCTTACGCTAACTCAGATCATCAATTTTTTTTTCAGGTTTGAAAATGAACATAAGTTAGATCAGTGAATTGATTTCATATTTTTATCTATGAATGATTTATACAATTTTTTCGTCCTTGATAGAATTTGTTCGAATATACGAGGAATATAAGAGATTCATACGAGATTCCTTAAAAATGACGTTCCTCAACGAATATTTTCAAAAAAATGATGATACTTTCAACATGAATCTCTTCCTGTGTGTGACTCGAAATTTCCTCAAAGCTGTTCTTTACATTTTTTTGATACTGAGACTTTTACAAATTTTAAAATTTACCCATGTCAACTTTTGTTTACTTTTGTCTAACTCTACCATCGTTGTGAACTTTTTTATTTGCCTACTTTTACACTAATATGAATAGATGATTCGAAACATTCGGAGCATGGAGAAAATTAACTCAAATCGAAACAACTTTCTGATTAAATTTATTTCATAACGACATTTTTCAAGGACAAAACACAAGCACTACAGAAAAATCCTTAAGGCACTCTCAGAGCAGTGCCTGTGCGAAAGTAGCGATTCAGGTTGGATTTGAAGCGCTGGAGATTAAATTAATTTGGAAAAACGTTCTCAGGAAGTTTATTCCACATAAACGTAGTTCTCCAGGTAAAAGTGTTCTTAAACAGTTAAGTTCGAGGTGTACTGTGTTGAACCTCAAAAAGATGAGCAGCCACAGTCCGTTGCGTATTTTTGATATGTACTGCTCTTGGTGGAATCGAATGTGCCAAGTCACTTGGCCACTGCCCGTGAAAGTATCTATAGAAGAGGAATAAATCTCCAACCTTTCTTCGATGTTCCAGACTATCAAGGTTGCAAGTGATGTTCGCGCCTTCAATCAAAGGGATGGCTCTCTTCTGGATGGAATCCAGCAGCTTCAGGGTATGCTCAGGGGCGGAGCTCCATATATGAGAACAATACTCCAAAGAAGGTCTGATCTGAGCTTTAAGAAGCATCAAAAGTTGCTGACGTGTGTACAGATATATTCATCGACGGCCACTTGCAGGGAACGTTCTTTCAGGAAGTTGGAGAGCAATACACAAAAATGATCCAACAAGCCATAGCATCGAAGTTTGGCCAGCAAACCTTCATGCCATACATGGTCAAAGACCTTAGAAATATCAAGCGCCACAGCTTTTGACTTTCTATGTTTCTCGATCACGTTATTCCAAATATGGATGACATACGATAGAAGGTCGTCTGTTGATCTTTGTTTCCGAAAGCCATATTGATGATCGCTCAAGATGTTGAAGCCTTCCAAATATTTAAGGATATGGTGGTTTACGGCTTTCTTCATGATTTTTGATATCGCTGATAGCAAAGCAACTGGTCTATAGTTATTTTTTTTGCCCTTTTTGGGAATAGTCTGAACGCGAGGAATCTTCCAACAAGAAGGAAAAACCCCTTCCTTGTAAGACATTTTGAAAAATCTGCAAAATACTTTTGCGAGTTCATTTGCGCCCTTTTTAAGTACGATGACTATCAGGACCAGACACTAGAATGAATCGCTTTGCAACATAGGTTTCAGTACTTCGTAGATACGAGTTTGTCTAAAATAATTTTAGATTCGTTAAATCTAAATCTATAGTAGAATACCTTCTAGGTTGGAAAGAAGGACTTTTAAGAGGGTATCAAATTATAGGAATTCGGGAATTGAAAAAAAAAATTTAGGAGAGATTACATTACCCACATTTTTTGTTTTGTCATTTTTAAGGTAAATAAATGGAAATTGATCGCAATAATATGTAGAAAATGTAATGATATGATAATACTGCAAAAAAAATAAAATAAACGGAGAGAATAAGGTAAAGAATGGAACGAATTCCAAAGAATAAATAAAGTATTAGGACCATGGCGAATCTAATAGTTCGATCGACTCACCACTGAGATAGTTCGTAATAAAATATATACTCACCCAGGTCCGTAGTTGCAGACATACTTCTTGGTGTATCCTTTAGAGGCGTCATAATAATAGGCATATCCACATCCTACTAAATTGGTGTCTGCCCATATCATCTGAAAATTTACATTCAATTAGACAATCATGTGTCTCGAGTTATTTCTGAAATGTATAGCTTTTGCTATGAAATTAAAACGAAAATTCATATTTGACATGAGTTTTGTAACAAATGGTCAATAATTCAGCAACAAGGAAATAATTAACAATACTATTCCATGAATTAATTTGCAATAAATCGAAAAATTTTCCTCTAAAATCTGAAGGCGGCTTCTTACCAAAGGGACACAATACATATAAAACAGAAACTCAGTCGTTTTTTATCAAAACTGACATTCTGCGGACATTTTTGAAACATTTAAAAAACTCGAGATATTTTGGCAAATCATCTTTGATTTACGTTCCGTCATGAGAAATAGCGACTGGAAAAGGAACTTTAGCAAAAACCGACGGAAATTGTCAGTCCGGTATCGGAATTGTATCAAAATATGCAGCTTTTGTGTGTGTGCAACAAGTGTTCATCTGGTGGAAAGGCATGAAACTATAAACTGAAATAAATATTGCTTGTTGTCTATAGAATTAATACTTGCTTTGAACAACTCAAAAAACTTTTATTAAAAAAGTTAGTTTTTTGAATAACACATTTCAACAACCTGACTTTTCTTATTATCACAACATTTTGCAATGATGTTTTTTACAATAAAATATATTGACAGGTATAGGAACATATATACAGGAGAAGCCAAAATGGTCACCACATTGTCCTCGATTTTTAATAGACTTTTTGCATTGTTTCTGTTTTGGTTCATTGTTGGTGTTTTCAAACTTGTAAAAAAAAACAGACTCGAATAGTCCGTGTGGTCGAATACTTCTTTAAGAACACACCAAGTTTCTTCGCAAGATTTAGAACTTTGAATGTTGAAAGTAATGTGATTGTTAACATCTCTAAGCATTATTCATCTAAAGTTTCGAATTGAATACAAAAATACTATATTTTCATCAATAATTTACGAATCTAATTACTAAAATGAAAAGTAATGACAGAAAAACTTCATTTACGGAAAGCTTACGATGACAAACTTCTGCTATTCCACACGAGATGACGCCTCATGTTTCGAATTTTAATACGTAATATGTAAATGTAGACACAATTCGTATGGAAAATATTGTTTTATGTATCAGAGTAAGGATCAGCATATGATCCCTATGTCCAGAGGACCATGCCTGTGCCTGTGATATATTCCAAAGATGATATTATTTCGGCTTTATAAAAAATAAAATGTTGATCAGGAGTGTGTATAGGCTTTCCAATTCAAAACGGGTTCCAAGTTTCTGAGACGTATTTTTATCTAAATTGACTAACAAATTGATTGCATCGGCCAGTGGAGTCATGTGTCTTAGATATATTCAAGAAAGTTATTCTTAAATGTATCAAATTAACCATAACAGCACATATATCTTGATTTACACGCCAAGTTAGAGAAAAACTTCGTTGTTGATGGAATAGGAAGTTTATGAAGCCAGAAACACATTCAGAAATAATGATTATACATCAAAGGAAAGGCGAATATATTCGATTTTCATTCGAATAAATTATTTGAAGGTCCATGTCTCTGTTAAACAGGGGTGCGCAAAAATCCGGAATAAAATGAATATCTTTTTCAACCCCTTAGCTGCAACCCTCCCCAACTTTTTTTTTTCAAATGCAAACCTATGTCGTGTATGGGCTCATTGAAAAGCTCGTAAAAATGGAATCCGTCCATACCCTTTATTTTTTTTACTCATGTGGTTACCACGAAATGAGAAAAAACTCTTTTAAAACCAAAAAATTTAGAAATACTTAGTGCTATTTATGGGTGAATTAACGTTGCAAAAAACAAATGAGTGGTGATGATGTACATTGCTCAACAATTGCTAAGGACCACCAGTACCTACTTTATAAAAGTTTACAAGTTTTAAGAACAGACCAACCCGGCCAGGCACCACAACAAATTATATTGATTTATGTGTTAAACTGATAACGTAATATAGCATCAACATTCTGTGGATTTTATTTTTTCACCAAAAACCTATACATAAAATTAGTTCCATCCCAATCAATTGTTGACCAGTGTACCTCAAAAAGAGAAAAAAGTTGTTGCATTTTTGTACCAAAATGAATGCTCTGATAAGAACTGATGTCTTGACTCAGTTTTAAAATTGTGGCATTTCTGGGTGAAATTGAAAATATAAATGTTTAGTTTATTAACTGAGTACCTTCAAAGTGTTCTTTTTCAATTTGCTAAACAAAAACGGTATTGTCAGAGAGGCAGCGTATCGAAGTCTTGATATTGTTGGGATGTGGGGATAGAATGCGGAGTCAAAGTGAGGTGTGTACTTTATTTATTGCAAAATATCCAGAAAATCACTTTTCTCAGGCTACTGTGATTAAGATCTCACACAAATTTGAAGAACGTGGTACAGTGAAGGACTTGCTCAGAAGTGGCCGGCCACATGGTTTAGACGAAGATCTAAAATTGGATATTGCCGTATCTCTGCAGGAAGACCCACATTTGTCAACGGTTTCATTAGCCCAAAACAATCCTGCGTCTAGACGTACGATTGGGAGGTTTTTGAAAACAGAAAAATACCACGCATATAAGGTATGTCTTGTCCAAGAGCTCTTGGAAGATGTCTATGACAGGCGTTTGCAATTTTGTGAGGAAATGAGGCGATGTGACGAGAATAATGGGTTTCCACTCAACATACTCTTTTCGGACGAAGCTACTTTTTATTTACATGGAGTAGTTAACAGGCACAACTATCGATTCTGGAGTCAGGAAAACCTAGACTGGATATACGAAGCTCGTACGCAGTATCCTCAGAAAGTAAATGTATGGACAGGCATCATCAACAACAGGATATTAGGGCCATACTTTTTTGAGGGAAACCTTACAGCTGCACGCTACTTAGACTTTTTACGCTTTGAATTAGTCCCTTTATAAAATATTAAAAAAAACACAGGCTGTTGAAATCTCACGGATTTTATATTTGTCAAGTGAATACATTCGAAATAGTGTTAATTCGTTTTGAATTTGCTAAAATGCATTCTACATTATGTTTCCGAATCACCCCATATACATAACTAATGGTTACTGTTGGTCACATTGTGTTTGCTGTGAATATATTTACCTGCGGAAGTAGTCCTATATTCAGTAGGTACATAATTACCTGTGTGTAATGTCCCGTACTGCCCCGTCCAATCCCACCAAAACTGAAGTATTTGAATTCGTTGAACCATTTACCAATTGCGTCTGCGAAGTCGGGCTCTGTATCGTAGGCGCTTGAAGGGGGTTTTGTTGTCCAGGTCGTTGCTATATTCTGACCAACTGTAAATCTTGCTGAAATGACACAAGTTGTTACATTTCCTCTACTTGAATTATGATGAGATTTATGTAGGAAAAAGTTTCAATACAATACAATACAATACAATATCTTTATTTCTCAAAATGATTACTTCACAATGATATAGGACTTGTCAATGGTAAAAATCATGAAATGTATATAAACATTAGTACAATATTATTACAAAATTCATAAATTTAACACATGAGAGTGCTTGTTTAAAATAAACAATGAAAAGGGTTTATACATGTACATAATAGTTGATTGGCGAATGTGAATATTTAAAATAATCATTAATATTGTAAAAACAATCATCTATGAGATATTCTCTGATTCTCCGTTTGAATACTTAAATTGATGCTACACTTTTTAGGCCGGAAGATGAACAATTGAAAAATTTGGAACCGAATTATTTTGTACGATATTGTTGTAGTTTAAATTCCCGTTCCTTGTTGCGTAATTATGACATTGTGAGTTAGTTTCTGATTGGAGTTCGCGTTTTTTCACAAAGAGCAGACAGTTATAAATATAGAGAGAAGGTACTGTTAATATCTTCCTTTGCTTGAAAACAGGTCTACATAAATCAGTATGACGTAGATTGTAAAGCAAACGAATTATTCTTTTCTGAGCAACAGAGACCCTGTTAATATTTGTTGCGTCTCCCCATAAGATCACATTATAAGATAGAACAGAATTCACAAGAGCATAGTAAACATCTAACAGTTGTTCTTCACTCAGTATTTTTTCAAGCTGCATTAAGGCATAGAAACTGCTATTAAGTCTTTTACTCACGTAGTCGACTTGAAATTGCCAATTCAATGAGTGGTCGATGTGAACTCCTAAAAACTTTGTGGATTCTGAAGGTTATATATTCGTGTTATTTAAATTACGTGTATGTTCCACAGTTTTTCTTGGAGAAAACTGTACCAATACCATCTTTTCTGCATTGACTATAAGTCTATTTCTTTGACACCACTTTGAGAAATTCTGACTTATTACATTAAATTTTTCTTGAATTTCCAAAAGACAGTCGGCTTCTATGGAAATAGAAGTATCATCGGCAAAAAGAACTATCGAAGTAGTGCTATGTTGTGGTAAATCATTTATGTATAGTAAAAACATTAATGGTCCAAAGACTGAACCTTGTGGAACTCCAAGTTACAAGTCATAAGTATTCGAGTTTACATTATCCCATTCTGAGTACATCTTTCAAAATTTCATTTAAGACATAATCCAAGATAGAAATTTACCTCGAATTCCAATTGCACTAGATTTCTTGGGCAGTATATTGAAGTTTATAGAATCAAAAGCCTTTGATAAATCGAAGAAGAGTGCGGCCACAAACTTTCCTTTGTCAATTCCTCTATAGATATTTTCCAAGAAAGCTGTAGTCGCACTTTCCGTCGATCTACTGGGGCAAAATCCATTTTGACATTTGTTGATTACATTATGTTTCGTTGAGACAGAAATTAGTTGTTTCAATTACTATGCTCAACACACTAGGAATAGTTATTGGGCGGTAGTTGTCAATCAACAAGGGATCATTTCTTTTCAAGAGAGGAACAATTTTTCCTACTTTCGAAATATCTGGAAAAATGTCGTCTTTCACAGATTTGTTGATGTAAGTGGTTCACATATATTCTCAGAATTATTTTTGTCGAGAGACAGTACATGCCAGTGGAATTTTTGTTTCTGACTCCAAGAATAACATTGTAAACTTCCGATGGAATAACAGGGTTAAAATAAAAACTATCCAAATCACCGACGAGATCAATAGTCCCCGGAAGGTTGATATCTTTAAAATATTGTTTCAAACTATTTGGCATTTCAGATGAATAATGTTTGGGGAATTCGTTAGCTATAATGGATTCATCCCCTATCAATTAATATCCAATGTACATTTCTTGAGAATATTGTTTATTTCCTTTTCCAGTTAGTTCACTAACAGTTTTCCACATTTGTTTTTTTTGACCTTTTATACTCTCTGGACTAAAAACTTTGTTCTGATAGTATTTCCTCTTGCACATACATATTTTTTTTTCATGCTCCTTTTTTTTATCTCGGTAGAATTGTATCATGTCATTATCTGCATTTTTTATTATTCGGTATAGTTCTCTCAGTTGTCTACCTTCCTCCTCGATATCTTCAGTAATCCATCCATTTTTGGTTATATGAGAGTAATATTTGATTGTCATACATTGTCAATACAAAGTTCTTGGAATATCACTCTTCCTGAGCTAGTCAGGGTAAACATTACTGAAATAGTTAATTTTCTAACAATTTCCTGCATGACTTGCGGTGATTATTTGATTAAAAAATCTTCGACAGAGTAACAGGCTAACTATAGAAGCCTAATGGTTGAAATTTTTCAAGAAAGTAGTTTTATTTACTATTTTCGAAGCTGCTTAAAAGTTTTCATTGGCTTGGTCAACAAGTTCTAATGTGTTACAACTTTTGTTTTGGAGCCTATTTTGGTCGAAGTATGTAAATCCCAATCAAACAAGGTAACTGAAACTAATCATTTCGATAGGTAGAATTGGAATAAATCTAAGCAAAATAATTTTCTCACATTATAACAAACACATTGTCTCCCAATATACGTTTCGCCGACTAAGTTAGTATCATCACGAGATTGACAGTAAAGTAGTCTTTTTCGAACTTATTTCGAAAATGTTCAAATGTTTCTGTAGTAATGCTAGCACAATTTTGGGTAGATCTGTCTCGGAGTATTGTCTCACGTTGTCTAACATGAACTTTGGATATGATAAAGCCCCAAAGGACCAAATCGATAGGAGTCAAATTCAGTAAATGTATAGGCCATTAAAGCGGACCACGGCTACTGATCCCCTATAGGTCTGAATAATGTGGAGGCGCACCATCTTGTTGGACAACTGGATTTTTGAATTCATCTCGATTGTTGGCCAACATTTCTGGAATCCGTGAATAAATGACTTCAGATTTTCGTGTACACATTTGGGAAAATATGATTTTCCAAAATTCTCCTGCCCAGACATTATTTTTCCAAGAAGTTTATGATCTTTTCGAAAAATATCTGGGTTTATGTCAAACCAAAATCGCATATTTTGGTGAATGACATTTTCGTTTGGAAAAAGTGCATTAGTCACTTTTTATGCATTTTCGATTTGTATCAAAAACAAAACTGCATTCTTCTGTCATTTGATTCACGTAGTATCTTCAGTTTATAGTGGTGAATTTATTGAATATGTGTGATTGGTGACTCATTTACTTTATGGTAATTCATGATCACTCAAGTGAAATGAATAAAAACACTTTTGTCCAAATATCACTGGTGAATTTTATTTATACGAGGAGTTTAATACTTGATAATGGGGTCAAACCCGAAACCGGTCATATAAATGAAATTTACCAGTGTTATTTAGACAAAAGTGTTTTTATTCATTTCATTTAGGGTGAATTTATGTTATCTGATTTAATTTTTGACGGAGGTTTTTGGGATATTATTTCATCGTGTACTGCTGGTGGTTATTCACTGCAGGCGCAACGTTTTCTAACTATTTCTTGTCCGAGATAGATTTTCTTTTAGCTCCTCTAGCTCTATCCACACTTTCAGCTGAAGTTCTTCAATTAATTATCTGAGATATTTTCGTAAATCTGATTATCAGGAAATTTTGTATTGAACACCTTTTCTGCATCATGAAAATTGCGGCAGGTCTTGGTGAAAATAAGGGTTTTTTCCTCTAAAGATCCGAAGTGAAGCATTTTTGAAAATTTAAACCAAATTAAATGTAGCGAATCATCAGTATCAATAGTGACAGCAATCAAGCTAACACAATACTCTGGTAACACGGTGTGAATTCTCATCTACACAGTAGATCACAAAAAATCCCAAATGGGATCAAAAACAGAAATGTGCTTTTTTATGATTCGATTATATTCTAAATACGATTTATTTCCCTGAAAAATGTCTTACAGATTACAAAATTTGGGTAACTTGTGATAATTAACTTTTGAGCTGCTTCAATCCTATTTTGTTGGCAAAGTTACCAATTGACCTTTTTACTAAGGCGTTTTCTGTCACTCATGTGTTCAAAACGTATTCATCAGTGATTCACATTCTGAGTTGAAACAATGACGTCACATCAACAATGATTTGATACATATTCATGATGATTCAAAACTGAAGTGAGGTTGGTTTTGAAAGGGAATTTGACATAACGTTACGTCAGTTGTCAGTTTCTGCTTTATTTTTATAGTTATAGTTTATAAAGTGCTGAAAACTTTGAATCAAATACGTTGTGAGAATGTACAAAACAAATCTGGGAAGTTCTATCCGATTCTAATTGAGGTTGGAGAAAATAAAAGGTTTATTTTTATTCTTATTACTGATAACGTCACTTCGAATGCACGCTCGAATACGATTGAACGCCAGAAAACACCACTAGTTTCCGATAACTTCGCAACTGGTTACCAAAATTCAAAACAGAAAAGGCCGTTGAATAGAGAAAAGTTGATAGTGCCTTCTCTGCGGCGAGAGAATTTACACCTGTGAGCTATTTTATCAGGAAATACTAAAAATGATTCCTTTTCATACAAGTTTTGTCCAACTTTGATATCTTGCCGTTTTGAAAAGTTAGGAGTAAGAGGTATGTACGTCCGCACTGATACGAAACGAACCAACTGTCCACAGATTTATTTGAAATCAAAGAGTCCATGCAGAGATCATTTTCTGTTATATTAAGTTGATAACATTTAAAGTTATTCATTCATTTGGCAACATGTTTGAACGAATTATATGTGATGTAAGCGGCCGATGCTTGATGAAAATCCATAACGTATTCAAAAAGATTTTCATAAAAACACGTGTTTCACTATACAATAGCTTGTGGAATTGGCCGCGGTGGTGGTGCGCCCGACTCACGATCGGAAGACCGTGGGTTCGATTTCTGCCTCGACCAGATATTTTTCTCTAGAGAATTTATCTGGTTGAAGCTGGGATGATTCTGCAACCTTGTTAGGAATCACACGTTAAAAGGTAAGACCTCGTTAGTCCTTAGCTCGCACAAGTTTCTCAACTTCTGAGAGCTGTCGTTCGTATGGGGGCGACAGATGATTAACGAAAAAACATTTTTTTTAAAACAGATTTTCTTGAGACGTGTTTTTACTCACCTGAAAAAGCTATTGTATAGCGAAACACGTGTTGCTTTTTTGTAAAACTGTTTAAAGAAAATCTCACAATGAGATATTTCTTGAACGAATCACTTGTTTTCATATTCTTATATTGTTATTGTTATCCGGGTAGATACTTATCGTTGCCCTGTTACCGAGCGATTCATCGTGAGGAAAAATATTAAATGTCTGCCGGCCATCAAAAAAATTGTCTTTGTAGACAGTAAAACACTTTTTGTACTAAACTGAACTTTGAAAAATTTTCATAGCTCTTTTTGTTGATTCAATAAAGAAACCTCAATGATTCATTTTAATTTTTTGCAAAAATACATTATACTCGTAAAAATAAGAAATGAGGAGAAACTTCCAAAGAGAATGACTAAATAAAACTCATCGATTTTTTCAAACATATCTACGGAAATATTTCTTTTTCAATGTACATTATCAATATTTCCATGTGGTTAACTGATACTTGATGAAAATTCATAACGTATTCATGTAGCACTTCATACAATGTATCTATCTAAATTCAATAGTTTCTCTATTCTTTTTTGAATATGCATATCAACTTAGAGATCTTGAAACCTTTGAGTTTTTAGCATTGTATTGAATGACAATTTCAATTCGAAAGTGAAATGAAGTGGCATGCGATGATTACAAAGTGGCTGAAGAAAAAAATGTTTTGAATTGTGTGTCTGAAGAAAGTTGAATGAACGTACTACCCATTTATTTTATGAGAAATACTTACGCACATTCCTCTGTTGGTCATGTATTTCCGAGTTACAAGAGCTAGCCCATTTCTGAGCTTTGCTGGCAAGTTCCTCATCCCATTTCTGAAAAATAGTGTTTCTTGAATGACGTACTGGAAACAATTTTTTCCTAAAATTTCAATATTGATGCTGATTTTATATTCCTAATGCATATAATGTATTGTTGTAAATCATCCCCTAAAAAAAATTACGCCGTCCGCCGCTTCGTCAATCGATTGTGACTTGGCCAAGGTCGCGCTCAACTCGACTTGCGCTTCTCCATCGTTCTAAATGACGCGTCGCTTTGAGAGACTTCCAGAGACTTCTATTACGATATATAAACACTACCAACAGGAGTAAGTTTTAGTTTAGTTGAAAGTGCGGTATGAAGTGATTTAATAAAGAGATATACATTTTACTTTTTATTTATTTATTTAGTAGGACATGTCCTAATATAAAAATGAAAAATAGCCATACAAACATGTTTCTAGACTAATAGTTATATTGAATATTAGTCTGAAGTTTCAGTTAAAGTGTTTGTGTTGTACTGTCAATGTAGCAGTTTAATTGTACACTGTACAGTGTAGTCAATTATTGTCAAACCCACGGAGAAAAAGTAACATTATTATGAAGTTACGGCTGTTTTAGAAGTGGTTCTGAACCCAGAAAAGGATAAGTATGGCCTTGCCTAAAAATCAGAGCATTACATGTTCAGCTAAAGTGTTTCGATATATCTCATCAACTTGGTTTCATCTATGGAACAGCGACTCCAGCGGTCAGCTAGTTTACGAGCTTTCAAGAGAGCGGAAACGAATTATTGGATTCTTCAATTTCAAAGTATTATTGAAATATAATGAACAATATAAGTTTAACTCAATGCTCATTCCACGAATGCAGTTTTGCAAACAGTTTTCTCCAACATTAACTATAATTATTTTGTAAGGTTTTTGTCTCACAGCATTTGTCTTAGTCATTTCTAAAATCATTGTTTCATGACTCTTCCTTTTTGAAGGTTTTCCCAACTGTATTCAAAAAGTATCCTTTATGTTTTCTGTTGATCCATTTTATCTGGTCTCGTAACAAAGATTTTGGTACCACAACAGCTGATCTTGGACCTATATATGGAGCCGATGATCCGTTTCTAGACACTTGTCCACTTTTTCATTGCCTGTGACTCTTGAGTGTTCAAGCAACCTGTTTTTTCAGTTCTTTACGGCGTTGCCAGACCAGTTTCTATATTACTTTCGTGTTTATCAAAGCCCCCAGTACAGTCTGGCTATCTGTAAGTATATTGATGTGCTCATTTCTTTGTGATGCCACATATTGATATTTCTTGTGCAATGCAATTTGCATATACTTCCGCTTACCCAAGCGTGTTCCCAGACAGCACATAGTTTCCTTCGGATATCCCCATTTCATCATCTATTTGTTTCTCAGGAATTCTTGAACAAAATCCTATAAACTTCCACATGATATTTCAATAAAGCCTTTGTAGCTTCCACCACATTTCGAAGATAATATCCTCTTTCTCTCTCTGGGATATGTTTTGCTAGATTAGATATAAAAAATCCTAATTCCACATATTTTGAAATTCCAATTATGTATCTCTCGTAGCTCGGGTAATTTTTCAGTTGATATTGACCTATACTCGCCTCCACTGCACATGTGCCTCCTGAGGAATTTCCATCGTCAAAGTTGTAGTGCTCGCACTCTTTTTTGGGGATATAACCATGAATAGATTTCTGGAATTAAATCTGGAGATCTAGGATACCATAAAGTGGATACCATAAAGTGGATCTCTTGGTCCGAACCACCCTAGCGAAAATGTAATAACCAAATACTTCCTGACTATTTTGAAAATTACATGGATCACTTTGAAATTTACGATTATCGTGCAGATACCGTATCATAAGGTGATCCAACATTTCTTGTATACTTCTAGGTATTTTCACCAGGTTTATCTCTTGAATGAAATAAGCTCCAAGGAATTAATTCCAGCGACATTATTGTGCCAAGACATATTGGTTTCCATTTTAACCTCCAACAGACTTTTCGAAGCAGAAAGCGACATTGTCTGTCCTGTCATTATTATATCCAGCTCGGAGACATTCATCTTTCTGGAGAAAACCGATGCCTGGGTTTTGTGGCATTGAATTGAACATGGTTACTTCCACCCCAATTATAAATCACTTCTAGATCCTCATTAAGATATGCAACCTCCCGCTGCCGGTGAAGATGTGGATATGCAGCCAATGTCCTGGAATCCAGCAGAGCAATATATTGTATTCTTAGTTTTTTCCAATAAGTCGTTAATAGACGATAAGAGAAAAGGTTGAATACAATATGGATGCCTGGGGAACATCAGCGTTGATAGTAAAAGTATTCGAGAGATATCCGTTGATGGCCACTTGCAGGAAATGTTCTTTCAGGAAGACGGAAAGCCATACACAGAAATGGTCCGGCAAGCCATAGCATCGAAGTTTGGCCAGCAAACCCTTATGCCACACACGGTCAAAGGCCTTAGCAATATCAAGCGCAACAGCTCTTGATTCTACATGTTCCTTAGTTGCGTTTTTACAAATATGGGTGACATACGATAAGAGGTCACCTATTGATCTTTGTTACCGTAAGCGACCGGTCTATAGTCAATTGGAAGATTTTTCTTGCCTTCTTCGGGAATAGGCTGAACGCGAGCAATCTTCCAACAAGAAGAAAAAACTCCTTTCTTGTAAGGTTGAAAAATCTGCAAAATACTGGTATGAGTTCATTTACGCACTTCTTAAGTACCGTAAAACGGGGCTACTTGATACACATTTTCAGATTTTACGTTCTACCTTGTTGAAACAAAGGTACGTTCATCGAAACAAATTATTTCAGATTACTTTGGGGTAATGGTTATCAGGCGTAACACTAAAAAAAATCTAGCCCTCGCCACACTGGAGAAAAAAATTTGGAAACACACTTTTTCAAGTAGTCCCTTTGTGGGGCTACTTGATATTTGTTTGAAAATCGCATCTAAAATACAAGTATACTCACAATTGAGGCTACTTGAAACGCAAATTGTTTTAATAAAACCCGCGGGTAGTAACTTAATAAAAAAATATGGGATTTGTGGCAAAAATAGTTATTTTATTCACGTCGTTAAAAAGTACATAGTGTATAAACAACAAATTATTGAAAAATCAATCACTTTTAACAAACTAAGTAAAAACAATTAGGTTAAGTAAAGAAAAACAACTAGGTACAACCATTCTAAATTAAGTCTTTGAATTTTATTAGTCCTCTTCTCAGAACTACGTATTCTAGAAGCCGTTTCTTTATTTCGTTTTTTTCGACAATGCCAATATCTTCAACCCTTGGAAAAATATAAGCACCTTTAATCTTGTTACTCATTCTTAAGAAACTACACATGTAAGTGTCGTGTCGTATTGTTTATTTGTCCCGGTTTGAGTTTTCATTTCGACGTAAATGTAATCACCTGGATTAAAACCTCTCATTTCGGTAGAACTGTCTGCAATAATCGTAGAGTTTTCTTTTTCTTCTACGTCAGAAAATGTATCAGGGTCTAAATCCATATCACTGTCAACTGTAATTTTTTCTTCACTGATGTCGCTTTCAGAAGACGATGATGGTAAATAAGTGGCCTTTCCATTTTGCTTCTTTTTGGTCCCTGGCTCGGACGGTATCGGGACAGCGAGGTCTTCTTTCGTAATACTTTTACCAGCTTCAACCAATAACTTTTTTTTCTGCCAACAGAAGTTGCGGTTTTAAACCTAGATTTTTCGAACACTGTTTCTAGTGAATCAATAATTTCTGTGGCTTGCTGCATATTCTGTTGATCTGTTTTAGGCAACCTATTTAGGATTTTGTACCTATCTACTGGGCATATACCAGTCGCTTCAAATCCTGACTTGATATTTTGTTCATTAGTGGTTGAAACTTTGGTTAGTGCTTGCTTTGAAAGGCGGGGAAAAACTTCTTTTCTGATGGTTCCCTTGTTATGTTTTTTCCACTCTTGTAGAATCTTTCTCCACACTGCCTTTGCTTCGAGAGGTGTAACTCCTCTCGAAGCGAAGCAGTAACTCGTCTTGATAATGCCATCTGAGATGATGGCGAAACGTCGACTATCGAATAGTACACAACGGATGAACAACTTCTGGTACACTACACTATATCATTTACTCGAACTATACAGTGAGTTATTTCGCCGTAATTTCATTACCGCGCATGTAAATCGCACCGCAGTGACGTTGTGATAGTTTTGATACTAGAAAATAAATTATTCATATAACCTTTTTGTAATTTGTGTTTTCATTTCCTTTGCCTGTTTTCATAACGTCAACAAATTCTATATCGAGCACTTCAATTTGTTTTATACGGCCTTTGCTGATGCAGGAATAATCCGTAGAGAAATAATGTGAATTTTCATCGTCTGAAATATATTAAAAATATATACTTCCAATACATCTTGACGTGGTTTTCTTATCTCGATAAGATAACTTTATCTTCGAAGATAAAAATGGAAACAACAATAAAAATTAATTGGCGCTCCGAGGCGACTTCATTGATTCCAGTGGCGCATTTTTCAGCTGCAGGAAAACCCGGAAAAACCTGCAGCACCACATCATCTGAAGATCTTGATCTGCCAATGTCCTCTCTCTCATAAAACAAAATGTAGGGTGTCTCCAGAGGCTCCAATAGATTCAATACATCGCCAGAACACTTCGTGACACGACTATCGTCAAACTTAAATCAGTCCGTTTCGTTTTTGACCAAGGCGTAATAATGACCAAATTCAACGTCAGAACCACAGTGAACAATGACTGCATGAATATTATAACAGTGGTCTGTTATTATTAGATTGACTGGTGCCTCAGCTATACTTGTTTCCTTATAACAAGTGATCATTGTTCCAGCAAAAGATTTACAAACACAAGACGAGATGGACTGTACGGATTCATTCAATCCTGAGCGGTCATGAGTATTGATTTTGCTATTGTTTTGCTCACGAAGAGTATTCAACAAGAACTCCAAGAATTCGGAACAATCCTCCTGTTGTCCTAACGAGTATCTAGTGGACTTCA